GCATATTTGCTGATCAGTAATTATTTCAGGAAAATATTTATTTTAGACTAATAACGTTGAATTGGAGGTAAATTCTGTTTTATTCTCCAGTGTAACGAAGCTGGTTTGTTTCCACGTTTTTAAGATAATTTTAGGAAGGAACAAACACCACGTTTGCCTTTTTAGAGGCAATCAATGAGTTCTGAGTCGGTAAATCACAAGCTTTACCGTGATGTATCAATTACGATGATGATACAATGTTTCCCAGTATCACAAAAATACAATTTCAATTCATTTCAATTCACGTCTTCAGTAGACATGAGATATACTGTATGTCTATCTAATACAATCATTTATGATTATTTACAATCCACACAATGACGATATGAGTTGGTATCTTCATTTTGTTTTGATGTAATTGAATCAATCATTTAATTGATATATCGATGTGGATGAATTGATCTCAAAACAATTTCAGAAACTTATATTTAGAAAAAAAATATTTTAGCATTTTTTTTAGTGCTCTAACCCAGTCGTTCCCAAAGCTGGGGTCCAGACCCACAGTGGGGTCCTGAAAAATCTAAATGGGGTCCTGAAAATATTTTCTGAATTAATTACGCTAAAAAATGACAACCAACAACAATTTCTCACCTTTGTTGTTACAAAAGAATAACATTAGTGTACTTAAAGGGCCAATAGTACGTGTTTCTCAGGCATGTATTTAAATACTATACCATAATAAAGTATCTATGTCACCTTTAGTTGTTATTAAAATACTTTTTTATGTTTAAATAGAAAATGAACTTATCTTCTCATCACTTCCTCTTCTAAACGCCTTGAAATTGGCCTCTGTCTCTTTAAGAACCTCCTTCCACTTCTGTCCCGTCCCATTTCGTTGCGCACGCGCTATGATGCCYTTTACTTGGCATCTGAAAATACATTTCCTTAAAGGTATTTTGAATCTGAAAAGAGCTTCACTGAGTGAAAAGTAGTGTTGAGAGCAGCATACAGTTTAAGTTTCACTTTCACTTTGTTACTGCCGAGAGCCTGCAGGAGTCATAGGCGGGTTGTGTGGGGTGGGGAATGGGTAGGTGTGCTCCGTGATGAGGAAGTTCAGCTTAAAGACACGTCCCAGGGGNGAGAAAGACCTGCAGTTCCTGGGTTTACTGATGATGAAGAACCTGGTAAAACCTGAAAGTGCAAAAGTTATCAGCACCCTGAGACTGGCACAAATTCGCAACGTTATGGTCACTGGTAAGAATATGTTCGCCCTATGGCTGCCACAAACGATTATTTTTATAGTCGATTAATCATCGATTATTTTTTCGATTAGTCGACTAATCTGATCATACGTTAATTGAATATAAAACATAGAGCTTATCGCACCCAAATGCAGCTGCTATTATATAACTGTCGTTAGATTTTAGCTATATGCTACTGTAACTAAAAAATAATTGCTGTGGAAGACAAGTTCTGCTCTGCAGATATTACACAGGTTTCTCTTTCATTTTCTTAAAATGATCCCACACTTTTGAGCTCCGTTGCTGGGTAACCATAATACCAGAGCCTGTCTGTATAATGTTTTGTGATGTCACAGCCTACACCAGTTACCACTACTGTGCATGTGTGTCAAGGACAGAAAGGCAGATGTGGCAGTGGAAGGTGTCAAAGCAGCTTGGAGAGAAAAACAAAGTAAAGAAAAAAAACGATTAATCGATTATTAAATTAGTCATAGATTATTTTAATAATCAATTAGTCGTCGATTAATCGACTAATCGTGGCAGCCCTAGTTCACCCCATAGCTGTTGTTAAAACAATATAGCAGAGCCTTTTACTCTGTATATCTTTCACATAGGAGACAACATCTTAACAGCTGTTAATGTAGCAAAGAGCTGTGGGATGGTGGGATCCGACGACAAGGTGATTTTTGTCATCGCGTCTCCCCACACTGCTCAGACTTCGCCCACTTTGAGGTTCACCCTCGAAGATGAAGCTGCTGCCCAGATATCCACAGAAGTCACGACTCAGGTTGGTGTTCCTCAGAAACAATGTAAAACATACCAAACTGTATTAGGTTGAAGTTATATTAGTGTAGATGCTGTTATTAATTTATTTTTTTACTTCTTCTCCACTTAGAGTCTGTATCAGGGCGGTTTTGACTACCATCTGGCTATTAATGGCAAGTCCTTCGCTGCCCTTTGTGACTACTTCCCTGAATACCTTCCAAAGGTATCGTGACCGGCAAAAAAACCCAAGTAAACKTATCCTGGTAATGGATCGCACTGGTTCAATAGTGGCGTGCTTTTATCACAGGTTTTGATGAAAGCCACTGTATTTGCYCGCATGTCCCCGGACCAAAAAGCTCAGCTGGTGAAGGAGCTGCAGAAACTGAAGTAAGTTCAGGTTCATGTTTGGAATAAAACAAAATGTTTATAAAACAGAAATTATTAAATTGGAATCAAATTCACATAAACTGTGTTATTCTGCAGACACAGTATTTAATAAGTTGAAATTGTTTTATGAAAATGACATTTAGTGTKCAGGAAGTGCATTTATTTTATTGTATTTAATTTATTTAATTCATAAAATCAAAAAAAACAACAAGTAAATCAATTATCGAATGAAAACGGTGCAGAAAGAAGAAAAAATCTTATAATATCTACCCCTTATTAAAAAACAACTTCAAACAAAAAAACAACCTAAATGTGAGCAAACTCCATATTTGAGTTAGAAAACCAAAAACATTTTGAAAACAGGAACAAAACATAAGGAATCATACGATAGCTTCACTAAATTTTAAATACATTTTCAAGCATGTTGCCATACATCAAGTAAAATAATGAATTATTAACAAACTCTTTACAATCTGAAGCAGGAGTCAGTTGTAGCTAAATTAAAAAAAATAAAGGTTAATGTTGAGCATTTCAAAGCGCGAAGCTTGTGAAATGAGAGAGAAACTCCCAAACTAGTGAGAATATAACGAGCAGGGGTTGCATGGCTGAGCTTACAGGTTTAAAAAGGTGAATAACTAATGAGTGAGCTGTGATCAGTGGGATCATCCACCGCTGTGAAGTTCAGTGAACGCTGCTGTCTTAATTTATATAGATGTATAAATATTGTTACTGTAGAGTTTTAGAATGAATAGAGTTGAACAGTATCAATTAAACCTCCGACCTACAGCTATCGAGTGGGCATGTGTGGGGACGGGGCCAACGACTGCGGGGCCCTGAGAGCTGCTGACGTCGGAGTTTCTCTGTCTGAGGCCGAGGCCTCAGTCGCCTCACCTTTCACCTCCAAGACTGAAAACATCAGCTGCGTGCCGCTGCTCATCAGGCAAGTCTTAAAACATAAAAACCCAGCAGAGAGCACGAGTAAATCAGAACACACAGAGAAGTGATGCTTTCCTTCGTCTGTGCAGGGAGGGCAGATGCTCTCTGGTCACCTCCTTCAGCCTCTTCAGGTACATGGCTTTGTACAGTCTGATACAGTTCAGCTCCGTCCTCATCCTGAACACAGTGAGTAACAGTGAATGTGTTGGTTATTCCTTCAGGTTCACATAAAGGTTAGATATCTTTACTACGACTGTAATACATTTGCAGCAACCTTAATAGAAACATTTATCTACTAATTAATTGCTTTATGTTTGCGTCCAGGTGAGGACAACTCTGGCTGATTTCCAGTTCCTGTTCTGTGACTTGTTCCTCGTGACGCTGCTGGCCCTGTTCATGGGGAAAGGAGGCCCCAGCGAGGATCTGTACCCCATCAGACCTCCGGCCAGCCTGCTGTCCCTGCCTGTGTTCGGCAGCCTCGCCATTAACACCTGCCTGATTGGTCTGGGCCAGCTGTCTTCACTGTTCATCACAAAAACACAGGAGTGGTCAGAGAAACAACTGAAAGCTTTTATTTTCAGCCAGAATCCAGTATCTGCGATTTTAAAAGGAGCAACCGTCTGACTTTGACTTTATTGTTTTTCTCAGGTATATTCCACTAAATTCAACAGTGTTTGGAACAGAAAATCTGCCCAACATGGAGAACACCTGCATGTTTAACTTGTCGGGTTATCAGTACATCTTTATAGCAGTGGTGGTCACCAAGAGTTACCCTCACAAGAAGCCTCTCTACCACAACGGTGAGTCACCAGGGATTGGAAATTAGAATTACTTAACCTTTTTACTTTTAAACTACCTGTTTATTATGGAGGACCGAAACTGACATAATTAGAAATAAAAGCAGAAATATATAAGTGGACCAATAAATAAATACACTTAAAATGCACCAATTAAATTAAAAATGAGAACTTTACCTCATGTTTTATAATTTAATTGACCATCATATTTGTTTTTCC